TTTCTCATCAGAATAGCGAGTTGTTTAGTAAATACATAACGTAAGCCCTAGTACACAAGGGTTAGTTGAGTTGATCGGTTTGACTTGTTGACTTTATTTGACTTTGAATTGACCAGAACTTGACGGTTGTCACAAAAGGTCAACAATGGCTTCCTCTCTCTCCCAAAACGCTCAAGCACTCTAGGGTTTCTCTCAAGGGACTGATAGTCGCAAATAACGGCCCTGAGTGTCTTTAAATAGGGCCCAAACCCGCGAGATTAGGGTTTCATTAAACAGCGCGAACTCGCCGATTCCACCCATGAACTCGCCGAGTCCGGTCATCAATCGGGATAAGAATTCGCAACCCTATTCGGCGAGTCTAAGCACCAACTCGCCGAGTCCCTCCACAAACTCTAAAATAAATGAATAAAAAAATATACCTGGAAATCTGGATGTTACAATTCCCCCCCCCCCCACTAGAATCAGACTTCGTCCTCGAAGTCTTACTCTGCAAACAACTCTGGATGTTGTTCACGCATCTCACGCTCCGGTTCCCAAGTCAACTCTAACCCCTTCCGATGCCGCCACTGGACCTGCACCAGAGGCACTTCCTTGTTCCTCAAAACTTTGATCTTTTGATCCCTAATAACCACCGGTGTCTCAATATAGTTCAAGCTCGCATCCACCTGAATATCCTCTAATGGTACCATTGCCGACTCGTCGGCTATACACTTTCTCAGCTGAGATACATGGAAGGTGTCATGAATCCGACCCAACTCTGCAGGTAATTCCAACCGGTAGGCTACCCTGCCTACCCTCGCGATCACCCTAAAAGGACCAATATATTGGGGCCCCAGCTTGCCCCTCATCCTGAATCGGATCACTCCTTTTCAAGGAGAGACCTTCAGGATTACAAAGTCGCCGACCTGAAATTCGAGCTCGGACCGGCGCCTGTCCGCATAACTCTTCTAGCGACTCTGAGCGGTCAACAATCTCTGTCTGACCTGCTGTATCTTCTCTATCGTCTGAAGCACAATCTTTGTACTACCCATCATACGTTGCTCTACCTCTCCCCAGCAGATAGGAGTCCGACACCTCCTCCCATACAAAAACTCAAAGGGTGGCATACCAATGCTCGAATGATGGTTGTTGTTGTAGGAAAACTCTGCCAAGGGCAAATACATGTCCCAACTCCCGCCAAAATCCAACACACATGCTCGGAGCATGTCCTTGAGCGTCTGAATCGTCCGTTCACTTTGCCCGTCAGTCGGTGGGTGGTATGAGGTACTAAAATGCAGCCTCGTACCCAATTCCTCATGAAATTTCTTCCAGAATCTGGAAGTGAAACACACATCTCGATCTGAGACAATCGAGATCGGCACACCATGCCACGATACCACCTCCCTTACGGACATCTCTGCCAACCTCTCAGCGGAAGAGCTCTCACTGATAGCAAGGAAGTGAGCGCTCTTCCTCAACCTGTCTACAATCACCCAAATTGCATCGACGCCCCTCGTAATCCTCGCCAATTTGGTGATAAAATCCATAGTAATCTATTCCCACTTCCACTCGGGAACCTCTAATGGCTGCAACTTACCATGCGGTCTCTGGTGCTCGGCCTTAACCCTACGACAGGTTAGGCACCTCTCAACGAACCATGCGATGTCCCTCTTCATACAGGGCCACCAATACTCCCTCTTCAGGTCCAAATACATTTTAGTGGTCATATGGTGAAGAGATTAGAAGATCAATTATGTTTTGTTAAGAATGATAGTAGACGACTACTTACCAAATGTTGTGATGGAAAATGTACTTTTAGGGTTTGGGGCTCTCGGTTGACTGATGATAAGTCTTTCCAGATAAAGTCTCTTGTTGGTGAGCATAATTGTGAAAAGAATTTTAAATTCGGATCAATTGTGACTTACAGATGGATAGGGACCCACTTTAAGCAACAATTTTATAACAATCAAAAGATGAGTGTCCGATTGCTTAGAGAGGAGGTAAAAAATACTTTTGGGATTGATGTGAGTATGAGTTAGTGTAGGAGAGCCAAGAAGTATGCATTAACTCTAGTTGAAGGCACAATAGCTAAAAATTACGCACGAATATGGTCATATGGTGAGGAGATTAGAAGATCAAATCCTAGATCCATAGTTAAAATTTATGTTGATGCAATGCCTGATGGTAAGAATTATTTCATCAAGATATACATATGTTTTGCTTCAGTAAAAGAGGGATGGAGGGGAGGATGTAGTAGGATCATTAACCTGGATGGTTGTTTTCTAAAAAGTTTTTTCCAAGGGGAGTTTCTTTGTGCTATTGGTAGCGATGCTAACAATGGAATATTCTCTATTGCTTGGGTGGTTGTTTGTGTGGAAAACAAGGAGAATTGAAAATGGTTCATAGAGAATCTTTCAAAAGATTTGCAAGGTTGGAATGAAGGACAAGGTTTTGGTTCTAATTTCGGATCAACACAAGGTATCATATTTCATATTCTAAAACTAGTAATTGCTATTCTAACTTCAAACATTAATATGATTTATGTAGAGTTTGATTGAGGCAGTAAAAGAAGCATTTCCAGCAGCTGAACATAGGCAGTGTGCTAGACATATCTATGCAAATTTTAGAAAGAGATTTAGTGGAGCCAAGTTTGAAAAGTTGTTTTGAAAGGCAAGCAAGGCAACAAATAAAGCACATTTTAATGTGGTTATGAAAGAGATTGAAAAGTTAAATCTGGATGCAGTTGTGTATCTTATGGACAAAGATCCAAAGACTTGGTCTTTGGCTTTTTTTCAGAGTTCATGATTCTTGTGACTCAGTTGAGAATGGTTTTTCAAAGAGCTTTAATAGTGTGCTTTTGGATGCCCGGAAGAAACCAATCATAAGCATGTTAGAGGACATTCATATATATGTGATGCAAAGGATGGTGACTATGAAACTAACCGGACAAGGATGTAATCATTATTCTGTTTGTCCAAATATTAGAATATGGTTGAATATGCTCTAGATTGAGCAAAGCTTTGTACACTTATCCAATAACATCCATACCGTTTTGTTCACATCTCCTAATACTTTGGGTTTCATCTATGTAGGCATTGGCAGGTCATATCTTGTGGGGGAATGAAGTTTAAGGCAAGGAAAATGGATGAGGCATATATTGTTCATGTTGAAAAAAAGGAGTGCAATTGCAGGTTATGGCAACTTAATGGATATGGTTGAATACATTCAATTACCACCTTAGCCTACTTAAATATCACACCTGATAGTCCATATGTAGATTCAATGTACTTGGTTGCATTCTTCCATAACACTTACAAACAGCCAATCCATGGGATGAATGGAAAAAATATGTGGCCTTCTACTGACTTGACACCCTCTTTGCCTCCATTAAAAAGACGTATGCTAGGTAGGCTAACCATAAAGAGAAAAAGGGATGCTTCTGAACGGATGGGAAAACACACCATTTCAACGGCATGAAAGAAGGTTTCTTGTAGCATATGCAAAGAGAAAGGTCACAACACGGCTACTTGTAGTAAATTTGTAGGGTCATCCAAACAAAATAGAACAAAGAAACAAAAAATTATACCTACACAGAAGTCTGTGAACGTTACCAAAGGGGGTGGGGATGATGAGGTAATGGTTGATGCAGGTGATGCATTAGAGACGACTTGTCAGGAAGATCAAATGGTGGGAGTCAATGGACGTGTGGAAGGGATGAAGGTTAATGCTTGTGTTCATCAAGTTTAGCATGTAAAACCACCTAACAAAAGGAAGAAGTCAGAAAGAATCATTAAAATGAAGCTTGCTAAAAAGGTGGGAGGTGAAGGTAGCAGTCATGCAACGAGAATGGAGTTGGATTAAATAATTTTTTGGTATCTGTGGTGAATGTGTGTTGCAATAAACAAAATAATGTATGTTATGTTGTTTTTTGGCATGGTATGTTAGTATATGCTATTTTAGATTCACTTACACATGTATTGATATTTTGGTATTTTCCATGACACAAATATGTAGGGGTTTTATGGGCATTTCCATTAAGTTATATGGATTTCGTATGTTATTCATGTGGATTTGGGTTATTTTACTCATTACAAATTAAACTAAACTATAGTGGTATTTGGGTAATTTATGGTGGTTTAGCCAGTTAAAGTATGTAATCAAGTATGGGGGTAATTAAGTCATATAAATAAATTAACCATTTTGGATGTGGGGGTAATTAAGTAATTTTCTATAATAGGATAACTATGATTTAATCCATTAAACTATTGTACCATGTTATATGCTTATTAGTCCATTAACAATTAAACAAGGAAAAAGTGCACTTAAGAAATGTTTTTTTTTTTTTTTCAAAAAGGGTTACAGATAAGGAGCATTGTGCCTCGTGTGCAAAGTTATTGTTTAATTTTGTCCCTTTTCCGTAACTACACCATTTGTGGTCCCTGTGTATCTGCATAAAAATGTATATTCAATTTGCTTTGGCTTGTGGTCCCACCCCAACGATGAAGATCCACATGATTGAGAACAAGTTAACAAAACATATATAATCTACAAATGTTTCATTCGTTTATGCACAGACACAGAATCAGGTGTAAGACAATTTTTTTTTAATAATAATATATTAACCAACATTTTTCCTCCACGGGTTTGTTTACATCACTTTTTGCTATTTCATAACCTATTACAAAGATCATCGACAGAAACCTTTATCAAAAAACGATAACCATCAGCAGCCCAGGAAACACCACCCCCAAATCTATGCACCAGTAGCACAAACTATTACCAACACCATACACAAAGTCTACTACTAATATCGACATTAAACAATTCAAATAACATAACAAAACCCAAACCCAGGATAGAAATGCTTTAACCTATACAAGTTTTTTTAGTTGAAGAACATATATGTCAACACACCCAAAGTAACAACACTAACAATCCCAAGACAATACTTCACTTTCTTATGTTTGTTGTGATGGAAGACCATCTTCATATATGATCCTTGCAGAGAAACGAAATGATTCTTAAAGACCAGCAACGAGATTAGAGATATCCATCTGACCAGCGCGAACGTCATTGACCTCACGGTTTATGGCATCCAAGTCTCGATTAACAGCTTGTCGGAACTCACGTAACTGGTCTTGGAAGTCCTCTCGTATGAGAGACAATTCCAACTGGGTTTGCAGTAGATTAATGGCCATGTCTTCGTTGGTTACACCATTAGAATGATTCTCCTCATGTGACGGCGATAATTTGGAGACCAGTTGTGTTCTGCATGTCCGTTCGAAGACATTTTCCAATTTTTGAGTAAACTTAGAGACGAGGTTGGGGTAATGAAGTTTGCAGATGTGCCATTTTAGGTCAACTAAGTATTGATTTTATACGGAGGCGCCTGAACAATCGAAGTGTGTTCCCTACGATTGACATTCAATACGACATTGTCACGGTTGTTGGACGCTTTGAATTATTGCCCTGTCATCGCTTACGTGTTAGACTAGGCTCATGTGACAATGTAAACCGGCTACAATATGTGAAATGGGTTATATTGGTAGGTAACATATAATTTGTTTTCTTATAAAGCCGCAAAATAAGTTAAGTGGCTAAATTGGTAAACCCTAAAAATATAATAGGACATATATGTCATTTTCCCAAAATAAAGTATGTCATTCTTTTAAGGTTTTGTACAACTGTCTCTACATAAGTTGTTGTTTTTTTTTTTTTTTTTTTTCTTCGAAATACAAACCAATAAGTCATTTAAAACTCATCTTCAATTTACTCTATAAGGTTGTTTTTAGGGTTCATTGAAAATGATATCTTTATTATCGCTGTAAAATTCTCAAACATAGTCATTGTTGTTGCACCTAAATTAACAAATCATAACATGCTATATGCAAGATTATGAAAAGATTAGCCTTGTTCATTTTCAACCAGTTTTATTCTATGTTTTAAATTCATTTATTTTAACTACTCGTTGAATGTATGATCGCAGTCAAGAATGTTTGTTAATGAGATATAATGGGAAACATATCACAAAGTCTATGAAAGGGTTAAAGAGAGAATGTTTTAAATTCATTTATTTTAACTAGTCGATTGAATGTAACTAGGATCCCAGCCAAGAAACATGAAAGCTATGTTTATGGGGTTTTGGCCCATGTTTTGGATCTATAGTAAGGGTTGGTTGAAGGGGACCAATATTCATAAGCTCGCCCATGAGCAAGTCAAGAAGGACTTGTCCAATCTTATTTCTGGTGAGCACTCTATGTCGATAATCTTTTTTTATTTTATTTTATTTATTTATTTATTTATTTATTTATAATTTTTTTTTTTATAATTAAATAGAGAAATTGATTTGATAAGTAAACTAGACTGGTGTTCTGATTGTTTTATAGAGATTATATTAATTACTTTAATAATGAGATTGGTATTCTCCTTAATGTTTTAGAGATTATATTGTGGAGTTTGCTAAGAAATACAACACCAGTTTTGACATTTTCAAAAACTAATTAATATGTTTAATTGTTTATTGGTATTAGTAGGCTAAAAAACCGGTGCCCCTTCAAGCTCCTTAAGGGTTCTACCAGTGATACATGATATATATATATATATATATATATATATATATATATATATATATATATATATATATATATATATATATATATATATATATATATATATATTATCATCACATATCCATTGATGCATTGTAGTATAAACGAATTCCATTAAAGGATTAAAAAAAACAAGAAGCAAACATCAAATTGTTTTTCTTGAATCACGTGTTTCAATAAAAAAAGCGTTACATCGTCTTTCTTCCTCTAACATGCATAACACAAATAAACAAATCGACACTAATCGTTAGTTCCATTGGCTCTTTAGTCTTTACTGAATAGAACTTAAGGATAGACTCATATCATTTGATGAACAATAATAACTATTTTTTTTAACAACTGGTAGGACTTACTAATGGTGTTACTATGATGATATATATATTAATGATGTAAAAGAAAACCCTATAATTGTTGGAACATATTGACTGCACCATTAACGAAATGATTTCATCATGGGTCGTGATGTTGACAATTGTAACGGTGGATATAAAGGGGATTGTGACACATACCAAAAATGAAGGTGGAGTCTTCTTCTTCTTCTTTTTATTTTTATTTATTTTATTTTATTTTAGTATCATTATTCTTATTTTTTTTATCTGGAAGATAACTTAAACAAAGTGGGGATGAAACTGATAACAATTTTCTACACATGACTATACTTGTAAAAGTTAAAAATGTAAATTCTTTTGGACAAAGAAAGGGCTTAATTGGTCCAATACTTCTGGGCCAATACCAAAAACGGGCTGAGAATAGACATGAACAAAAAACCTTGTCTTATACTAGCTCCAAAAGAACCGAGATCGAACTTCTCTAAAATGAGTCCGAATCATAAAAAGATCGGACATCCCAGACCACTCCAAAAGAAGAACGGACCATTATTCCAAAAAAGACAGGACCGCTCTGTGACTCATGCAGAACTGGTACAAGACCGGCCCTAGACCAGTCTCAAAAAAGACGGTAAGCGGAAGCTTATAAATATATAGTTTGTGTTAATTACAGAATTTTAATCATACATTACCCAACTTATTCACTTATTTTTCTATTAAAATTTAGTGTATCGGTTTTATTAGATCTTAATGTATCATTTTGGTGTTAACCATACATTTGTTAACAGAAAATCTCGAAATCGAAACCGAACTGAAAAATGTGTACGCAAAGACCACGAGATTGGTCTAAAAAAATTCCAAGACAACTCAGGACCGATCTAACAAAGTTGCGAGAATGGTGTTAAAAAGACTAAATTGTTTCGAGACCGAAAAACAACCAATGTGCATCTCTAGTTGAAAACAACCAAAATATTATGAATTATAAATAAACTATAAAATTAATTAAAAGTCTAAAATATTATGATTTATGTATTTTTGGTGTTTTTCTTAATAATATATTAAAACCGCAACCCTGAAATGTTTTGTTACCCGGCCCAACAATAAAGATATGTTTTCACTTTTCACTTTTCAAATTTCATGCGGTGATGGAGTCGGAGGTGTATGAACGATTACTTTGACACTGAACAAAAATCTCTCTGAACAGTGTCTCCGCCGCTCTTTAGACGACGCACGCTGCCGGCTGCTCGGCTCCTCTCGTTGGCGATTCCACGGTGAAATCTCCACCATTTCCTCTTCCTCTACTATTCTCAAGTAAGTGCCCTAAACCTAATTTTAGTTTCTGAATTTTGTAAACCCTAAGAGATGACAAGTTATTAGAATCGTATACATGTTAGTTTTGTAGGACATAATGTGATGCATTATATTTGATCCGTTTGATATTCGATCCCCTAAAAAAGACGCCGACTGAGAAATTGCCCACATTTCCCCTTTTCCTGCTTCTTAGCCTTTGACGCGATTTCTTCCTTCTCCTTGCATCTTTGTCTCCTCCGTCCAACGCCGCTTTGTCTGAACTCCGGCCTCCTTCCAGCGGTTAGAAAAAACCCTCTTTTTTTCCCTCCTTTTTTTGTTCGAACTGCCACCGGTTATCTCATCATCTTCACTTGTTCGATTGAACAACTTTCGTTTTAGCTTTTAGATGACTAATCGTTCATCAGTTATTACCTTTTTTTTGTGTTTCCCTAATCCACATAGTTTAGATTAAACATTCTGTTGATGATAAATTAACATCCATCAACTTCAAATGTAAACCAAATTTATTGATTTTAGTTTCTTTATTTGATATCTTTTCCAAATAGATCAATTTAATGGAACCATCATCCGAGGAAGAATACGAGACATTTAAAGAAAAGGTGGAAAGAACAATTTACCTCGACAACATCTCAAATCAGGTGACTGAAGCTGTTTTAAAAACTGCACTTGATCAGTTTGCAACTGTCAAAAATGTTCAGTTCATCCCCACATACTTCAACTCATGCACCATTTATGCTGCTTTAGTGGAAATGGAAACAGCAAAACAAGCTGAAGAAATAGTTAAAGAAATTAGTGAATCACCATTTATGATATCTGGTATGCCAAGACCTGTGAGAGCACAAAAAGCTAAAATTGAAATGTTTGATGATCGCCCTAAAATGCGTCGCGAAAAGATTGTATGTTATTGGATGGATCCAAGTCATCCCAACTTTGATGTTGTTAAAAATTTTAAGAATTTGACCAAAAAGCATGCTGTTGCAGCGTCGTTTATGATGGAGGTAATTTGGTAGATAATTGTATGAAGTGTGAAATAGTTTTGATGTTTGGTTTTTTAATCATTTTATGGTGAATATGGGGAATTGTTGTTGTGTTTTAGAAACAAATGGAAGAAGAAGAGAAGTTGCATAATCAACAGGAAGCGAGTTTGAAAGCGAATTTTAAGAAGTATGAGTTGATCGATAGTGCACAAGGTGATGGGACATTTAGGCGATTGGGTGCTCGTTATGGGACAAAGTATAATGATTTTTGATTTTTGGATTAAAATATAATGGTGGAGTAGTTTTTTTTTTTTTTTTTTTTTTTTTTGGCTTCTAAGAAATTATTTCTAAATGCACATGTTATACTTTAGGCTATCTATGTGAATGTATAAATGTTCAAATGATGTACCAGATGAGCCACTAGGTGATGGTTAAAAATGTTTTGTTTTTTTTTTTCTTCCAAATGTGGCTACATAGACATTTATAATCGTTTCTTCTGCTCAAAATGACCGTTTTACCCATCTAAGGTTAACATAAATTGGTGTTGGTTGTATTGGGTTTGTCACCTCTCAAAAGGTTTTTTTTTTATTTAATTTTTTTTTGATGGAAAGAAAAAGAACAACTGTTTCTGATTCTAGTTATCATAGCTCATGATTTACCAACTATCAAAGTTGTTACTACTATGGCTTTGGAGTTTGTCTTTTTTTTGTTGGATCAACTCAACTAAACCATAAACCACAATTATAAAGGCCAATAAAGTCATGTTCTCATTCTAAGCAATCTTTAAAGAACACCATTTTAGTGTTTGGAATTAGCTTCGCACTCCATATATATAAAGGTCAAACTACTTGGCCTATACAGATCACATCTTTAGTGTTTGGTTGGAATTCACTCGAAGTCAATAATTGTTGACCAAGAAAGACATGAAAAAGACGAAAAGATTTGTACATAAACAAAATGAAGAAGATGAAATATATTGTATATATGTTTATATAGTGATAATGACTTGAAAGGGGAACAAACTATCGATTTTGTTCACATTTAGTCATTAAATTTTTTTTTTCTTTATTTGTTATTGAACTATTGAAAATGTTCACATTTCACATTTATGACCGTTAACAATCGGTTATAAGGGTAAAATGTAAACAATTTCAATAGTTCAGTTGCAAATAAATAATGAAAAAAAGTTTAGTGACTAAAAGTTTAGTCACTAAACTTTTTTTCATTCTCTATTTGTCACTGAACTATTGAAATTGTTCATATTTTACTCTTATGATCGGTTGTTACCGGTCATAAGGATAAAATGTGAACAATTTCAATAGTTCAGTGATAAATATAGAATGTAAAAAAGTTTAGTGACTAAATATGAACAAAATCGAAAGTTTGTGTACGATGTTGTTATTATTATTATTATTATTATTATTATTATTTTCTATTGTATAACAAACAAACATAATGCTGCAAATATATACTTGATTTTAATTAAATAACTTGCAATTATCTTTTTGTATCAATTCTAAAAAATAAACCGAACCGTTATGAGAAACTTTTTGTTTGTTTATCTTCAGAATAAGTATTTTGCATATGTCAGATGTCATCTTTGTGACAGAATTATTTTTTCTTTGATGAGAACATGGTTCTTGACATCTTACTTCCCTTACATTACTCTAAATGGGATTTTTGAGGTTTATTGTAATTGTTGTTGTAATGATTTATAATCCAATTTTATGCATCTCAATTGCAGCCTTCGAAGGGAAGTTATTGATCTATACGAATGTTTAGACTTCAGTATAGCAATTGGCAAAGCCAATCCACACATATATTAGTACCTAGTCCCTTCTAAGTCAAATATAATAAAAATTCGAAAAAAATAATATTTTTAAAAATAATTAATAATATCATAAAAAACATAAATATAGCCATAATAATTACAAAAAATAAAAAATTTAAAAGAAAATACTTCTTCTAGCCTTTTAGATGTAAAATCATTGATAATGCAATCAAAATCAATTTTATCCGACATGTATTTCTTCAGAACTAATATTGACAAACCATTCAACATTTCTTAAAATATTTATAATTTTAGTTAATTCTTCAATAACTTTGATTTTTTTTTTCTGCAAATACAACAATAACATGAAAGGTTAAGAAGATACTATATCCAATAAAAGCATTTGGATTTGGGTAACAATCCGTAACTTTAAAATGCTCATTTAAATTAGTATCCTCTTCATTCAAATTTATAGTTTTCTTCATTAAAATTATTATTATTATGTTCATTTAAATTAGAGCTCATTAATTTCAAAAACTTATCCTCCTTTTTGTTTTTGTAAAAAAGCATCAAAAAAATTTTGTTTCTTTTGTTTTTCGGAGAAATGTTTTTTAAGAGACATGTTAATAACTAAAGACTAATTTAAGAAAAGTATACACATTATTTCTGACTCAAATTTTACCTGATTTCTATCTCAAATTTTGTGGAAGCCTAATATCAAATCAATCTATAAAATATAATCAGGAACAAAGGTCCATTAAAATGATAAATAAAATTAAAAAAACTAATAAACAACAATTCACATTACAATATTACCTTGCTATCTAATACTTTAAAGCTGAACCTTTGAAAAAATAAGCCAAAAGCAATACATTAGAGATTTTGGAACATAAGACTTTTCATTATACAGTTACAAATCTACAAACATAATACCTAATTGAGTAAAAATTATAAAACATAGAGAACTGATTTTCACTTTTTCTAAATAAAAGGGACTTCAAAATCTGATATACAAACAAAAGATATAAGATTTTAGAAACAAGAATCTGGTATAACCTAAAATGAGATTATGAGAAGAAAAACTCAGAAAAAAATGATACACAAACCTATAAGCTTTCAAAAACAAAGATCATACCTTTTTATCTGATATCAATCAAGTCACAAGGATCCGAAATCAACACAAAATCAAGAGTAAGAAATGAGAAGTAGAAGGAGAATACGAGAGCGTATGAGAGAAAAGACGATAAGAAGTCGAAGATGAAGTTAATTGTGACTATAAGATAGATATCAGGTGACGATTCAAGGCCGTGAGAGTGAAAGATAGAAAGCAACATACCGTTATTCAATTTTTGAATCCCATGTCAGAGTTCTATTGTCGATTCAGGAGGTGGTGATGTCGATTAAGGTATTGAGGATATCGATTCATAAGGCGCTCTAATTGGCTAATTCTTGCTTCCTTTGTTGATGTTCGACAGTTCTAATTATTCGTTGCAAAATGCATTCAATCGGCAACAATTTGTCTATCTTTTGGGCTAATTTGTGTTTGGACTAACTTTAGGCCCTAATAATTTAGGGGTGTTTGGGATTGCTTATTTTAGGTGCGTATTTTCTTATTGAGGTTTGACACCGCTAATAAGTTGTTTTTAGTGTTTAGATATATTAAAATAATAAGTGCTTATTGAGTAAAATAGAAAGTTTTTGATAAGTTAGTGGGTTCTTACTTATTTAAAATAGCTTATGACTTATTTAAACCAATTTACCATATTAACCATGTTGTGTTTGTGTGTGTGTGTGTGTGTGTGTATATATATATATATATATATATATATATATATATATATATATATATATATATATATATATATATATAACCTTATTGGTCATTTTACATCTATAAGTAGAAATTGTCAAACATTAAAAAACAACTTATCAACTTATTGTGTTTTGATACCGGAGAAGTTAATAAAAACACATTTTTTAACTCCAATTTGACACCGAAAAAACTGATAAATACTTTTACAAATAAGCATAAATTGTTTTAAATAAGCAATCTCAAACACCCTCTTTAAATAAAAATTTTACACATATACGCTACATACCCCAAAATGTTTGGGCCCTGGACGATCGCCCACAATCTAGGTAATTGGGTGTTTTTATGTAACACTTATCTTTTTCTTTTAGTAGCCTTCTTGGTCCATGAGTGTTACTTAGGCAATTGGGTGTTGGTTACATGGATCATGGCCCTTAGGTTTTGATATTTTGTTCAAATTTTTTAAAACGTTTAATAAATAATGTAACATCCAAAAAATTTCAGATAAAATTTTTATTTTTAATTCATTTTCAAAACATCTAGTAAACATGTCAAAACAACCAAAAGTGTCATATTGTAATAATATCATAGTACAAATCCCAAAATCACGTAAATGCGGAAAATATGGGCAGATGCGGTGCGATCAAGCCGGGACCTTTATTACCGAGTTGGAGGTACCTGAAACATAAACTGAAAACCGTAAGCACAAAGCTCAGTGAGCTCACCCAAAAATACCCCATACTATACATACATAACAGTCAAAGCATAACTAGGTCTATTTCACCCTCCTTTTTAGATTCAGAGTGAACTCAACAAGTTGGTGGGACAACTCGACGAGTGGTTAGGGTTTTTCCCTGATCTTCTGGAATCTGCATGGGCTCGACAAATTAGCTAGCAACTCGGCGAGTTGACTCGGGTTTTCGTGATTTACTGAGCATTGAGGAACTCGACGAGTTCATGAGTTACACTCGACAAGTTGGGTCAGCTTTGACTGTTGACTTCTGTTGACTTTCAGGTTTTGGTCAAGCTTTAGATTATGGAGGCCATGGAGAGGCGGACTGTAGACCAGCAGTTCGAATGTGGGATATATTGCTTTACTAGGCGAGGTGACTCTTCTCTCTATATACTTACATGAGTGGTAATCTACTGAGTTATGTGATATATTATGCATTTTGTCTTTGTGATTTATGTTGTATATTATTATGTGCCTTATTGAGATATCAGATCGGAGGGTCCAACCCGATCTGTGATTTATGTTGCATTTTGTCTTTGACCCATAAATACAATGAGAAAAACTCAACTTGCACTGCCGAAACACAAACGATCCGTGGTTGTTGGCTGACAGTTTCCTTGAACTGTCAATATCAAAACAACACCAATTATCAATTGGGTTCCAAACCATAACCATAAATCCATAATCAAGATAAAAAGACCATTTTACCCCTAACCTAGATTGGTCCAACACTAAGGCCCAACTCACAACCTAAAAGGCCCAAAAGCCAAATAACCAACCAAGGCCCAGTTATGGCCTAATTTTCCAAATTAGGGCTAAACCCCCTTACATGGGCCTTACCCTAAAGCCCAACCAAAAATTCTAGTCCAAGACACGTATACTCAGATGGCCCATTAAGAACTCAAATACCCAAGCCCAAAAAGGAAGCCCAACATGAAGCCCAAAAGCCAAAACCCTCCTGACTTAGTACGTGGGGAGTACTCATTCGTACGCTAAGCATACAAGCAGTTTGGCTTGTATG